ACAGAACTCAAGCAGTCAAGCTTCGTAATCACACATCAGGTCACACCCCTGCGAAAAGTGGGGTCATTTTATTCAGTGTTCTGGGACCACTTCACTTCCTGATGTATATAAATGACATGTTTGACATTATTGTCTATGTTAGACCCTACACGTTTGCGGACGATATAAATTGTTTGTCCACATTTGATCCCAGGAACAAAGAGTCCGTGTTTCGAAGCATACAAACTGACCTGAATGCACTTGAAGTATAGTGTGGTATATCAAAAATGAATTTCTCCTTCTTAAAGAGTAATGCCATCTCATACAAATGGGATATGAATGTTCAACTGCTAACCTTCTTCGGTAAACTCCTAGCTTATGGTAACCGAGGACATAGAGCTTCAATACTCCAGTATCCATAACTTCTCCGAACATGTAAGATACACTGCCGTTAAAGCCAAGAAAAAGAATGCACAGTTTCTCAATCTCTTTACTATAACAAATGCTAAATTTACATTGTACAATACTTGTACACACGCAATGCTGATGTACTGCTGTATGGTGTTCGGCAATTCAAGGTAGAGTGACACGTCGGCATTAGGGTGTGTCCAACCTGATTTTACAAGACAGATCCTGGGCTCTACTCAGATGTTAACATATTCTGAACGCTGCAAGTTTCTGATGTTGGATCCAATATGGCTGCGTAGAATAAGGCTAAACATATCGCTGCTTTTTGATGTAATCCATGGGCACATTCCTACAGCTGGATACTCTCCCCAATTACAACACAATAAACGTTACCTTATCCGTAATAAAAAGCGTACACTTGGGATTGAAAAGGAAGGCACCAACATGCGGGAAAACATTTTCCTCATTAGATATGCATTGATCTGGATTCGTCTCCCACTGTCCATTAGGTCATGCACATCTCCTCACATGTTTAGTGTCCAGATAGACAAATTTCTCACGGTCCTAAAAGCTATATAACTTTCCAAGCTGATTATGGCGGAGACAGCGATTTATCCGAAGGGACCAGAGGGCATATAACGTATGTCTGTGATACCTCTCTGTCTTAAATTAAAAACTTCATTGTCTATACGAACATCTTCATGAGCTACGGTGGATCATCGGAAACGAGGCATTAAAAAGTAGATATAAATAAGCTCTCAAATTTCGCGGTCCAGCAGAACTATCCACTTTACCTGACAGATTCACTCAGCTGCGACACAATGCAAGACAATGAGGAACAGTGGATGTCTATGCAGGGGAAAACGATCTCTTCGGGGCAGTTAGTCTGTGGTCCTTAACAGCATTCATGAAGTCATGGGTCACCACGCACTCTCTGGATATATTTTACCGCGGAGGAATATTCTACAGGAGTCTAATCATAAAGACCTATTCCGTTCACTGCAACTGCCCCCTCTGGCAATACTCGCAAGCTCTTCCAGCTCATTCGGTACGTTTGCAGCAGAAAGTCTGGTGTCAGTGAGACGATTTGCGACGCGGATGGTTTGCCGATTTCCAACTTACAGGGTAGAAGGATAAATAAACTACTGGTACAGTAAAATAGTCTGTGCTTAGGTGTTGCCGTCTACAGTTACAGTCTGTTTTGCCTAACGGATGGGGAAGATCGCACATCATGCAAATGCGATGGAGTGTCCACTACTGGCTCTCCGTGTCGCCCATCGGTCCGGTCATTTGGTGCCCGAGGTACGTGCACATTCTCGAAGAACGACTGATGCGCAATTTTTGACATAGAAAGGTGATCTCAACTAAGTCCGGCTGCCCACTGTCAAACATGCGACTTTCCAAATATTCTTCGGATGGTTTTGCAAATGTCCAAGTATTCAGCCATTTGTACATACCGATGTGTACTCTGCTGTGACCATAAGCAATTTGCGAAAGATTTGCATTGTACTTCTCCGGATGAAGCCATTTGATGCTCATTAGCTGATTGTCGCTATGCGCCGATTCCTTTCCGATGTACTATACTAATACACTGAAGTACCATTCCCATTGGGTTTAACAGTTTACTTCGTCTATCCAACAAAGAGGCCATGTGCAATGCAACTTCTGGTAGGCGTCTCCGCGCTTCCGCATACCATCCGCTTAATACTTACGTTTTCATAAGCCCCATGAAATTCAGTATATATCTATATATATATACATATATATACATATATATGCAGCAGCCTACGAATACGCATGGAGCCAAAAAATCCACGAAACTTAAAGGAAGGTAGTGTTATCGTTAAAAAATCACAACACAACATGGAGGAGTCCATGATTTCGTCTGAGGGTGAGGTACTACCCGTAGACTTTGCCCATAGCAGATTTACCCAAAGGAACGTTAAGAAGAAATATCCTCTGCCAATTCTGCTTAGGGAATCGTAATTGTGAATTACATAATGATTAGGATACTAGGCTATCGTTAGAGTGGCACAATTGTGCTGTGATCAATTTGTGATGTACCACTATCATTGGCCGATTTTTAACACACAAGCACTGATCGATGGGCCAACAGTTATTCGCCAGGTGTATGGCGATGAGCGAACAACTCTGCACAAGCTACTTCTCTTTGCACGATTGCGACTGCAGCATGTTGCTCCTGGTGGCTTCTGCAGTATTTAACAATTGCTTTTTGCGTCGTGTTGGAGATCATTTCGGTGCAACGTAGCGTGCTTAAAAGCAATTCTTAATCTGGATAAGATGTCTACTAGTAATCAGATGTTTCAAAATTGAGCTGTAGTCCGTCTTATTCGTATCGTGCCGCAATGAGGCATGGCAGTGTTTCGCTATCCACCAAAAAAGGCGTCCGGTCGTATTACTGATTTGCCGCGTAACACAGGTTCTTGTGTACTGATATAGAACGAATGAAACTGACGGGACTGTAATTCTCTCTTTGAGTCGCTGTGCAATTAGCGGCGCGATCGCATTAAGGACAAGAACTCTAGCGGCTGGGTATGTTTAGTTCATTTCGGCTGATAACCTCTTGTTCATCTATTCAAGGATGATATCCCCTTGAACAGGACTGAAACGAAGATGTCCCTTTTTCTCGTGTTCGCTGTTTCCGCTAGAGAGGCGTGAACTATAGAATATTTTTGATGAATGCAGCGACGTATCCATTTCTTTCCAGTGCTTAGACGTTTAAATCCTCTTTGAGTTCCAACGGATCTAGGCTGCAGACTTTTGGAGCGCGGAATCACAGACAGCGAGCTGAGCCCCGTGTGCATTGCATGGTACAAAGAGAAACTGCGTGTACTGTCCTACGCGAGTCGTTTACTTTCAGACTCGATAACTCACACAAGGAGTGAGACCAAGCATGCAACCAGTAGATTGGAGTCCGGCACAAATACGATGAGATTATCGCATCAGTAAAGAGCAAAGAAAATATCCTCTCCATATTTCCGTGTTTTCGATATTAGGTACGTGAAACCCGGTCGCCGCCATTTGCGTCAAGCTGGGGGTGGTCCTTTCTCAATAAGGTACTGGATTGCCAATAAAGTCATCAACCTCATTCGCCAACGATTGGCAAATGCTATAGGCTAATTACTTTACAACTATACTCAGGAAGCTGGCTCCAAAATCCGGAAAATCAAGGGCTTGCTACTTTGTGCATCCGGCAATTTTTTGTATTCCGATTCGGTGAATTAAAACAATACCTGTCTCTCATTGATCCAGCAATTAGATGTTATTCAAAACTTTGAAGTAATGGGCGGGACCAGGTTGCTAAACTGTTTTTCGAATATGTCATCTCATTTAGTTAAACGCGAAAGCTATACGACAAAGTTATGGATAAAATACACACACATCGGATACGTTCACGGTGTGATTAATGCGCATTTAATACGCAGCAAGTTTTGTAAGAATACAGCGGCACCTCCTTTGCAACTTCACTTAAGTACTGTCGGTACGGACCAGCATTTGATAATGCTGTGGTCATCAAAACGTAGCCATTTTTGTAGCTGAATAGTGACCCAATGCTTATATGACATTACGGCTGAATGTTTGTGTCCATCGCGAAACCCTCAGCAGCTGTGCAACAGCTGTGAGGCGCTACGCTTGCAAATCTTTTCGCTGGGTTTATGCGCCAGACTGATAAAAAGGACAACTGGATGTCACTGTAGTCAATATACGGCATAATGCTGTTGCATGTAAAATTGTGTTGGCGTGGATCCCTACTTAATTACATCTACAAAATCTCGAAGAACCATTCAGAATCGACTGAAATATACAATGAAATCCACGTAGCCTGTCGATTGCTCACATAGATGACCTAGCTGAGCTTTATTCATTATCCCTGCAGATCCGTTAGGTGGCATACGAAAGATTGGATCATTTGATGGAGCGTCAAAGCACTGTACAGTGTTCTTGCTTGTTTGGCATGATTAAAAATTTTGTTGCTACACTCACTGAACTTGGAAAGCGATTAGTGTTCGATTAGCAGTACTATTTAACCTAAGTGCTTACTCCTCTAATTCCAATGCATCAGCAATGTATCAAGTTCCTCGACTCTGTTTAAACAATGGAGATATTTTTAGCTGGACACCTAGAGTATTATCTGAGTCGGTGCAATGTGATCAAATTCAAAGCAAGACAGACTCCCATTGCATTATAGTGAATTTGGTGACCATTCGCCATCTAAAGCTAAGGAACGAGACGTGTGTATACTCAGCGTAACAGGACGTGTGGATAGACCGGACCTGTAGCCATGGTTACTGAGGCGACAGTTGTTTAAACCTGAAGCCTGATAAGTTACCACGGCTTTGTATCGTAAGGAACGTAGTTGTTCCTTAGTGTGATAGGTTGAATTATTGTAAACAGTGGACGACGACAGTAGCATAGGTTTTAGCCTGATAGGATGGGTAAGTAAGTTCGTAAACTCAACTATAAACATACTATATTACTAACAGTTCGGTCACTGGTTCCCATGACGCAAGAGTCTAGAACCTCGGGCTTACGAACGCCCGTAAAACAAACAATTCTGCCCCGAACCCGTCGAATTTGAAAGAACAAAAAAATGCTTACTAAACAAGTATCACAATTTTGCAGAAGACCTACATGAAATAGTTTTTAATTGTCGGTTATCTCCAAATAAATCATACAAGATACGGGAAGGCATAAACGTAGCTTTTCACAGTTATAACAGTCGATGCTGGATAAGAAATTCTTCTATCTCTGCACATGATTTATGTTCTTGCTGTTCAGTAATAATACTTGTCTGATCCGTACCCCGCGTCATATGTTTCGAAATCAGTTAAAGCAGTGTTATCGTTCAAGTCAGTCGAGTGTCGACTGTATTCGCTTTCCCGACGGACGCAATACATATAGAATGGTCCAACATCGTTGATTATGGGTCTACCAGATGTACATTCGTAGAATATGTAGGTTATATGCTCCATTTCAAGAAATGATGGAGCGTAAACTGGTGATGGCGCGATCAATCGTGATTCCGCGGATGCTGCCACAGGTATTACGGTCTGTCGTTCTACTTCGATAGGAGGATACGGGCTCGGTTGTTGAGCTACTTGCTTTACTTCTTCCATTTCTACTACCGCTGGTTCGTCCCTTTTTTCCTCTTCCCGGTCGTCATCATCCTCGTGCTCCTCGTCTTCTTCGTCTGAGGTGTCACCCACAAGAAAATCAAGATTTAGTATGGAGCGTCGATTATCTACCGGCTGAGCAACCGGGACTACAGCAAGATATGAAGTGTCTCGGACCTTCTTTTCCTCATCCTCCATCGCTTGCCTGATGTATTTTTCAAATTTGGCCGCATCGGCATCCAGTTTACATTTGTACACCTCATAGTACTTCTTTCCACTAATCTCGGATTGTATGCTGAGAACGAAGTACTTCGGCTTTCGCTTGCTTCTTTGAATGTCTTCAATTTCACGATAGTACAAATATGGTCGAAAAGGGTCCTTTCCTCCAGTTTTGTGTCGCTCAATGGTAAACCGGTCTTCCAGTATGTTTGCGATTCCGTGAGCTTGTCTCTTTTTCATGTGCTTGGACATAATTTGTTCGGCTTTCAGCTTGACGAATCGTTCGTTCGCATTTAAAATATGTCTATACACAGTGCAGACATGTGTGTTGAAGAACAACTTTTGTTTCGTCGCTGTGTGAATTAGTTGGCCATCAATGTATTGTGACCCTCGAGGAATCGCAGGATCCTGCTGACTCTTCCGAGACCTGGACGTCATCGGAACTCTTGACTCTGTTGAACTTGTGAGTCGATGATGTCTCCTGTTCCGACTTATATTGCTCCACGTTGTTGTTGACAAGACATGCAGTTAAACACGTATGTTTTGGCAATTGGTTGCACACACACACACACACACACACACGAAGCTGTTGCGTCAAAGATTGTTTGGAGACAAATATTGACTTTGGGGCGTCATCCATTTTACATTCCGTAGTTGTGCGATATCCAAGAAGTTACGCACACATTTGTCAGCATGATCAGGAGAGAGCCGCCTTGTTTGAAAATAAGCGCTTGAATCTCTTTACCTAATGGAAGCCATGTATTACCTCGTCGTTGTGGCGTGATCTCTTTGTACGTTTGACTGCACACAGAGTTATGCGTGGAGCATACGCTAACACCGCAGACCAAGATGCGATATGAGCTTCCAAATAATAGGCAGAAGCATGTTTTAAATCGATCCGGGCTTTCCTTATAATAGCACGCAAGTAAAGTGACGTCACGACGTTTAGCAATCGGCAAAGGAGTATTAACCATGTACACGTGTTTTACGATTAAAGGCCTCACACGATTGCGCGTAAACTTTCGTGTGCACGGAAATTCGTATTTGCTATATCAGTCCATGGTACGTAATTGTAAGCAGCTTGACGAAAGTTTGTGTGAATTCCAAATTTGGGCGTTCCTACGGATCACCACTAAACACACTATGAAGAATGTTTAGATCATTTCTTTTATATGTTTAGGCACTCTAAAGCAACTGCAGATAGACTAATGTTAAAATGTGCCATTTTCTCCATCTTGTAAATCAATTCTGAACTTTTTAACTCCTGGTCTCATACTAGGCACAAATACTGATTTTACCAATTCTTAGACTCCGTAATATATGATATCCGAAAACTCACGGGATATGTCAGAAAACTTGCCATCTGTTTTGCCTAGGTTTGGGGCATCTCCCATATGAAGTTTCGATTCGGGCCAAATGATACCTTGAAGTGAACCTCGGTTATCCCAACCACTGGGACCGCATCCGAAGTGAGGAAATCACCAGTGCTCTTCACTGTGCACCACAAACGGATTTGCTTCTGTATGACCAACTCATGTGAAGACAACTGTGTTCGTGACTGGAATCAGACTTTTGATTAATTAGTAGGCAGCTATTTCGTTATATCGATAAACCACATCAGCAAACTTGATCACAAAGCTTATGAAATCACTATGCATCTTAGGCATCCATCATGTTTTCGAACCTAAACCAGCGATCATGGTCTTGAGGAGGATTCACATCTAATAAGGCTTAAATCGTTCTTTTAGTCTTGGTAACCATTATCCCCAAATAACGACTTCAAATAAAGAATAAGTGGATAAACGGTACTAATACCGATATTGCAAATGCCACTGAAAACGGAGATATTAACTATCAGTGTTACCTTAAAGTATTAATCGCTGTCTTGCTAACTGATCTCAGTGTGTTAATACTGAAGGCGTCAGCCGGTAGATTGCAGTACTGGGAGCTCAAAATAACGCAACCTCTCCAATTCGATTCCACCACTTTATTCACCTCACCCCGGAACTTAGCCAATGCTTGCCTCCCTTAATGACCAAAGCAACTGGTGTTTACAACAGTCTTTTGCCTTAATCAGACAGGTGTCTTTACCTTCCGTTTCCAGTCTACATTGGTGATAACAGGACAATGATTTCAGCCGTCGTATTGGCTCAGGAGTAGATCGAGTCACGGGTATGTATAGCATAGAAGTCGTATTTTTACGGTCTGCATTAAAATGGGAAGAAGTCATTGCCAATTATATGCGCAAAACTTGAGGGAGAATAATGCATGGACAGTGAAACTGCAATTTATCAAATACATAAAATCTCGGGTTTGTTTGTGCATTAACCCAACACACTTGAGTAAAACTTAAATAATGACATTAAAAATGATTCTAAAAGCACAATATGACTCGCGCTTCAAATGTCTGTGTGTTTGCAAGTTACATATGGCGAGACAGATGGTTTGTGGACGAACTTTCAGAATCGATCAAGTCAGTGGACCACATCAGTTGAAGAAAGGTCTTAGTAGTCAATGGTAGTTTACGGAGAAAAGAGGCGAAGTTTGATGTGTCCTGGCGGATGATTGGTTAGAGGTGAGCAAACTGAAAGCAAAAACAGCAACCACAGATAGTGAACAAGCACATACTGCCAACATGACGGTTACGGTGTTCCACATCTGAGCCGTCCACATTTGTTTTCCTTTATTAGCAAAGGTCATGGCCTGTGGTTTCCAAGCAAAAATGGAGGAGGGTTGATTTATTTTTGTTTCGCTGCTCTGTGCGTAGATTGTTTGGGTTACTGCTAATGCGCCGTCGACACGAGCTTTGAACACGGCTAACGTGAAGGATGAAATTTCAGCTTCAGAGAGAGAATTTCTTGTGAGGAAAACGCGCGGCGAGAAGTTTCTGCAACACTTCAGCCGACTGTATTGGTCTGCTACTTTGAGCTGATGAACTCTGTGTCTGTTGTTGTGAAGCAGCTTAAACAGATAATGGCACGAGGATTAGGGTTGTTTGGAATTTGGTACACCATGACTAGGTCAGCGCACAAACGCCGATAGCGTCCACGCTGAGGCATGGTTTGTATGCAAAGTAATGAAGCCCCTTGAAAGTTTTGGTCGCCCGATATTGCGGAAGCTCTAAGGCAGTGAGACCGCGCTTTAGGCATGGGGGCTATGCGTGGATTCCATATTCAACATTAGTGCTTATGTAACTGGGAACTACTTGGCAGCAAAAATGTTGCGAAGTGTCAGAAAGCCCTGTGCAGAAGCCCTACGATTGAAATCCCTCCTCCGATGCTTTTGGATTATTCCGTGCAACAAAGATCTTCCTGGACCCGCACAATGAGTTCCTTGTATCGAGAACAGTGTGGCAGGTCCTGGTATCCCAGCTTATAATTGTGAACAATTCGGTGTCGTAAATATTGCACTCGATATTTGGCTACTTTGAAGAAACGTCGGTTTTCTGTGGAGCATTCATGGATCTTGTTGGGGTCGTTTTAAAGCTGGCTGCGGTCTCTTGGAGTTCTGATCGTTCGCCAAACATGACGTCAACGGCGTAATGTAAGACCTTTGACATGAGCATGCTCACTAGATCATTAATGAAGACCAAGAATTGTCCGGGCCCAAGCACAGAACCCTTTGGCACACCGCATTCGACACGAACTAGGCCTGCGATGAATCCACATACTCTGACCTCCAAACGACTGCGCTAGTGAAAAATTCAGATTCACTCAGCGAGAGGGTCACCAATGCTACATTTCTGAAGTTTGGAAAAAAGAATATGACAGTGTAACTGGTTGAATGTGTTATATAAATCAAGATGAAGCACAGCAACTCCTGCACAAGCATCCGCTGTTTCAGTCCAGCTGTCCCGTGCTAACAATAGATTAGTGGTGCACGAGTGATTCTCACGAAAGCTACCTTACTGCCGAACAATGTGACCAGAAGATTTTTAAAAACACGTTAGTGCGTTGGCAACGAGAGCTACCATAACTTTTGAAAGAACTGCTAGAAGAGCCACTGGTTGATAATTAGCTGGATCAGAACGGCTACCCCTTTGTAAATTGAAGTTAATATCCAGTGTTTTCACATTGCAGTAACGTGTCCCTCTTTATGACAGCGCTAATGCAGACGCACTAAGGGTTCAGGAAAAATATTAGGCTCCACACCAGGCGTTTTTAGGGAGGATGTCATGAATACTTGGACAGGCGTGAAGGCACAATGATAACCATTTTTCATCCCGGCGTCTGCCGCAAGAGTTATGCAACTGAGTCCTGGTGGAAACAGAGTAGTTTCCAAAGGTATGGGACACGACGCTATGTAATGAAATGTTGGCGCTTATCGTTGCTGTGGTTCATTAGACGCTGCTTTAGTAGTCCAAATTAGATCGTCTGCTGTTTGAAAGGACGGAAATCCATGTCTCACTTTACGAAGGTGGCAAACATGGCTGTAAAAAAGCTTATAATTTGAAGTGAATCGCTCCGCTAAACCATGTTGATATACAACTTTGTTTTCCTGTACTAGTTTGGTAGAGTAGTTACGGAGGACAACGTACACCTTCCGGGTGCTTAGACTGGGATCGCTTTTGTGGCCAAACCACGCCGCGTCAGGCGTCACCATGCATTTACTTGCCCTGCTATGCATAAACGACATCATGTATCTCAACCTGTTAGACTTGGTTTCTGATACCCCAAGAAATAAGGCGTTAAACTTACTAACCAAATGTTCAGAGGCAATACCGGTTAAGAAACCCAGTCGGTCGCAACAACGAGTCGAGTTAAGGTGTCGTAGCTGGTTATGGTCCAGTGTCCTTTGAGTTCTCTCTTCAGGGTACGCAGTGCAGCAGGCGTACTTAAAATGCAAGGTTGCAGGATCACTGTGGCCTTGAGGAGTATGTGTTATCACTCTCGATGATAAATACTTTCTAAGTGAATATCCAGCCCAATATGGATGAGTGTTATTACCCGTGAATCTGGTAGGCGAAGTGATGTGACCACAAAACTGAAACTCTGAGACAATACCTTGCAGATCTGCTTTGAATTGATCTTTTGGTGTAGCCTGAGATTGTAGAGCATGTAAGTTGAAATCGCCAGTGACTAGAAAGTGACCGTACTTCCTGTTAATCACTTGCGTAAGCACCGCCATCACTTCGAAGTCCATCTCAGGTGTAGATGGTGGTGGGCGGTAAACAACAACCAGTAGGCAGACGTGGTTCCCTATCAGCCGTAAGCCACACCAAATGGAATCGGGCAGTTTGGTTTCCCAATAGCGTATGGATTTGCACTGCAGTTTGTTGCGAAAGTTGGGCGCCTCCCCACCACCAAAGCTGACTAGATAATTTCAGACCACGTACATGCCTGTTAGCGCGATTTCGGCATCCGTGATCCCACGGCACAACCATGTTGCCGTGATATCGATGAGGTCCCAAACTGCTGACGCTTGTCGAAGTCTCGATTCACCTCATTTGCTTAGTAAATCCTGGGCATTTTATTACATGCAGGAAAGT